CCTTCCAGAATGGAGTCCAGGTCTACCTCTAGGTCATTTGTCTCAGACATTTTATCTTGTTTCTGGACATGTGCTGATATGGTCACCTGCTTTTGAATCTTGGACATGTTTAGTGTTTATCTGTGGTCTTAATACCTAACTGAGTACATGTTTTGGTATTTTTTATGCTTCCAGGTAGATGTGATCAGGATGTGGGCTTCCTTTTCACTCTTTCTATTGTTTAACTCAAATAAACTTTTACAGGTGCCTTCCTGGTATATGTCAGTTGGTATTGGTCCTTGCCTGGATTTTGGTGTTTTATAGAGTGTAGTTGTAGCTTGACTATATGGCAGCAGCTGCTGTCTCTTCTTGGGTAATACAGGGAGAGAAAGGTTCCCCCAAAGGTAGAAGGGGGACCATACAACAGCAAAATAGCATGAGCAAAAAAACCCCCAAAAACCAAAAAAGCAACAACAACACCAAAAAGACAAAACTAGACTGAATACTGTAGTCTATAATCACAGAAAAGGGAGAGGAGGAAGAGAAAAAAAAAAAAAATCGGTAGCCTAATATCAGTATGACTTTAATGTCCTGTCTTTAGCTTCTTACCTTCAAATCTGTCTGACAGATTTCAAGATGCCACTGTTGGCTGTTATGCTGTACCTCAGGATTTAATTTAATTTTTGGTCTGTTTTGTTTTAAAACTCTCTTTCCCTCTCTACACCCCTGTCTTGGCCTTTACTGTATTAAAAAACAACAACAAAAAAACCCCAAAAAACAGTTCAGGGCCAGCTCTTGGTCTGAGAGTATCTGTGTGCAGGTGTGGCAGAACAACCCACCATTGGTGAAGGTTGGGGGGGGGGTTGTCCACTCGCTCAGGCACCCCTTCTAGTCACCATAAAGGAGGTGCACAAACAGTGGGGGAGGCAATGAACAAAAACCAAAGCAACAAAGCGTATTGTTCACCTTTGCTCGCAGCATTTTTCCATGGTGTGTCTGCTCCCCTGCTTGGTCTTGCCGATTGGTCTCACCCAAGTTGTGGGCTAAGGCCACTGAGCCCGGCAGATTCAAAAGTACACAATTTCTTACTTTTGCGACAAATCCCATTAGCTACAAGCCTTAAAACCTTTTTAATATTCTTATCTCTGTGGTTCTGAGTTTTGGAGCTCTGTCCTGGATCTGCTTTGCTTGGTATTCTGGCATATTGCTGGCGGCAAACCTCACTGACCTTCACCCTAGCCGCCCATGTTAGCTTCTTCTTTTTAATGTTTCTGTTTTTGCTATGAGTTATTAAATATTTCAAGTATTAAAGACTATGATTTAGGTCAGACTTCATTAGTATAAATCTTCATTAACTCACACATGCATGCATCTTTATAATACTTGACTTACCTGTTCCCATGCGAACACATGCTGGTTGAAATAAAACTGAATTTGTTCATTTGCAATATTAATGCAAAGCTGCTCAAAGGAATTTTTCTTGAAATTTTCAAAGCCAAATATATCAAGAATGCCAATGCTCAGTTCATCTCCATCTCTACTGAAAGAATTAAAGAGACTTTTTTTTAGACCTTAAGAAGTATAAACAATGAGTAGAAAATGGAAAGAGGATTATTTCTGAGTACTCTTTTGCGATCTGGCAAAGAACTACTATCAGGACTATGACCTTAATTAAAAATGGTTTCCTTCCCCATTAATCCAATGGAAACCACTCACACCTCAGTGTCCATGACCCTGAGACCAGAAGAACTAGATGGTGCAAGGCTACCACTATCAACCACTCTGAAAAGATCACATTAGAAGGTGCTGGATGGAGTGGGAGAAAAATGGGGAACTAAACTCAAAATCATAAAGAAGACCAGACTTACTGGTCTGATAACAGTATGGTGGAATTCCTTGAGATAATGGCTTTTAGATACGCATTAGACCTGGAACCGAATTCATCTCTGTGGTTCAATTTTTAGTCAAACAACAGACAAGTCCATAGGTGAACAATAACACAAGGAAGGGATGCTTTCACTCATTAGAATAATCATCCATATGAGATCATAAAGGCAGCATTTGCCAAAGGGCAAAGTTCAGAAGTCAGGATGGGTTAGGAAAGAAGAAAGAATGAAAATAGGAACCAGCCAAGTGGATTAAGTGATGTCACACTGTGGAGACTGCAGTCAATGACATGAAACAAAATATGTAGGAATTATTGAGTTAGAAATTGATTTGCCCTGTAAACCTTCACCCAATTCACAATAAAATGTTTTTGTTTTTGTTTTAAAAAGGGAAAGTTTCTTTCCACAGAACATAATAATGGAGACCGTATTGATTTGAACATCTAAATTGCACAATATTTTCCTAATAGAAACCACACCTATACACTATCTTATGCATTTAAACAAGCAAAAAAATAAGGACTATTTTTTTTCTTTTTAAGGATTTGAAGGCACAAAGGTATAGCATTGAGTAAGTCAGAGAAAAATGGGCTAGCGCTCAGAACCCATCAAAAATGGTTTCAGTAAAATCCATACTAAGCAACCAAATATTCTATTAAAGAGTATATACAGTTTTTCATTTTAGATCAGCAATTAAAATATCTTATTACCAATATTTTGATTATTTGAAATAATTGTTCTTTTCTTTTGGAATATTTGTTTTCATTTATTTATCTAGTAGAAATGGCATCATTTGAAAAAGATAACAATAAGGATTTATTTATAGCTAAATACTTTGAAAATACAACGATCTATTTTTTAAAGTTGCTGTTGCCAATTTGATCCCATGAAGATAGTTCTTAAAAGGGCAAAATGCTTAAGACAGACATGTTTTTCTAGGTAAGCTAAATGACTTTTTGGTTTTAATAAACTTCAGGGGATAATTTTGGCTTAAGGCTTAAAGATGATTTCAGGGCTTTAGTTTCGGGGTTCTTCCAGCCTCAATGGCTCCAGAAATTCTGAATTTCATGAGAATTTGAAATTCTGTTTTATATTTTCTCCCTTTTGATCAGGGGATGAAAATTTTGGCAAAGGAGGATGAGAATGGTTGTACAACTTAAAGAATGCACATGTATTCCCTGAAGTCTGTTTTACAGCAAAACAATTCCAACTCAACAACTGCTCAAATCAGTGCATAGTCATGAAAACACCATCCACTATGGGAAAAAAGAACACATTGAAAAGGTTATTATTCTAACCATTGACAAAAGTCCTCTTGGCAGTAAGAGAAATAATTTTAAAGACTGAAAAGCTAGTATTTACTTCAGGGTACTATCAATACTCAAGGTGAATTGACAATGGGATGTTTATTATGAAAACAGAAACTTGCTTTGTTGAGCATTTGGGTTACAACTTAAAGAATGTAATAACTGTTAATGAAATGTACATGTAAAAACTGTGGAAGCAATGTATATTCTGCTTTGTATAGTCTCAACAACAAGAAAGTAAATGATTAAAAACACAAAACATAAAGAACACAATTTGATATCTTATCAAAAATGCAATTTTCTGGTTTGTTTGATACTTGGTCAAAACGTATGTACCTCATCTCCCACTCTCTTCCCTCACACATTGTAAAGTTATTTTTTGTGTGAATTAAAAAAGGAAAACATAAATGTTTCCTCTTAGTTCCCCATGCTAGGCAGTCAAAGGTACTCTCTTGGAAATGACAGCCAGGCACTGTGTGATGTGAAATGAAGCATGCTGCCAATGTTCGGAGGAAGTGACTGAATTAAGAATGCAAAGGTGTAGAATACTTTAATATTGACCGATTCAAAAAAGGAAAGCTATCCAAATATTTCCCAAAGTTTCCATTTTAAAAAGTGTAATTTTATGTGGTTATATGAGGCAAGATGTCAACTTCAAATTTATGATGGTAGCAGAACTATTATTTCTTGGTACCACTAGATCCCACAGAAGTAAGCATTTAACTAATTGTACAATAATTGTGTTGTTGTTGTTGTTAAGTGTCATCAAGTTGATTCTGACCCATAGCAACCCTGTATAGGGTTAGAGATGGAGAAAAGATTAAAGTTGTCAAAGACTTCATTTTGCTCAGATCAACCATCAACACTCAAGAAATCAAACGACGTACTGTGTTAGGCAAATCTGCTGCACAAGACCTCTTAAAAGTGTTCAAGAACAAAGATGTTAGTTTGAAAACTAAGATGTGCCTGATCCAATTCATAGCATTTTCCATAGACTCATATGCATGTGAAAGTTAGAAAATGAATAAAGAAGACCGAAGAAGAATTGATGCATTTGAGCTATAGTGTTGGAGGAGAATATTAAAAGTACCATGGACCACCAAAAGAACAAACAAAACTGTGTTGGAATATGGCCAGAACGCGCCTTAGAAGCCAGACTTTGTCTCTCATATTTCAGATATTATCAGGAAGAGGGACAAGTCCCTGGAGAAGGATATCATGCTTGGTAAAGTGGAGGGTCAGCGAAAAAGAAGATCCCCCTTCTCCCCAATGAGACTGATTGGCACAGTGGCAGCAGCAGTGAGCTCAAGTGTAGCAACGATAGTGAGGTTGGCACAGGAGAGATCAGTGTTTCTTTTGTGCATAAATTCACTATGAGTCAGTACTGACTCAGTGGCACCTAACAACAACATAATAATATTGTGTCACAGCCAGAAGGGACCCATGATCTAGTTTAGGAATTCTTATACTGGATCTGTATGAGGGTTATAGAATCACAACTGTATACAATATTGGGGGTATGACAAATAATAGGGGGCCTCAAAAAATCCATGAAAAATTAGAATTAAAAGATAATTTTTTTTCATGAAATTTCTGAAGCCCCCCCCTCATGTATCCATTTTGTTTTGTTTTGTTTTGCTTTAAGTGAAGAACATATACAATTTTCAAGAGATCTAAAGGCTCCAAAACACCTATCAATAAAATATTTTTAAAATACAACTTTAAATGGATCATTGTTTAATACCCTCATTTAATAGCTGTGGAAGAAGAATCCCAGAGAAATCATTGACCTGCCTAATGTCACGCAGTATGTGAGTGGTAAAGCCTGGAATAGAACACAAGGTCTCTCAAATCATAGAGTAAATCTTGACAGTATTGCACTAAAACTATTCCAGTGGGCTTGTTTCTAAAAAATAATAAAGAAATTAATCTAAGATTTGAATATTTTTCATTAGTGCCTATGAACAAAAGTACTCATTTAGCAGAAATAATGGATATTTTCAGCAGATAAGTTGGAAAAGACCTTGTTTTGAAGTCATATCCTCCTAGGAAGCCATTTAGTACCAGACATGCATATGATAACTAGCAAAATGAGGCCCAGTTTATGAATATCTTGCTTGCATTATATTGAACATTCAGAAGCTACAAAATTCCATACCTGAATTTTTCCATTTTCTTTTGAAAATTTGGCATCATGTAGACTGCCACATATGAAGAAACAACTATATTAACCAGCTTAAATCATAACATACAAATTGGATTGTGATTTTCAGACCCAACAAAAATAGAGTACAAACCAGCATAGCATTACAGAAGCAGTTTGGAAGGACAGGGAGTTAAGAACACTGTGGAATAAATAGATCATTGCACTGGACAGTACTGTGATATGCATTTTAGCAGGAAAACAACAATGAATTGTTTACCCCAAATGGTCTTTAATATTTAATCAACAGATATAAAGAATGGATCTTAAGGTAGGCACCTATCTTGGTTTTCCATGTGCAATGTTTCTGAAGATTGTGTAATTTCTGGCAGAACAAAGTGTTAGATGTAAATGTAATGACTTCTATGTATGCACAATCTCTGGGGTATATAACTCTCAGCCAGTTGGGGTTGCCATTGTCTGTATTTCTAAGATGAAGCATTTAAAAGGCTGTAGGCTTCATGGTCAGGTTACAGGTTACAATAGTGCTTCCATCCTATCTTTACCATTTACTAGTTATCTGCTATACTCTGGAGCTATATGCCACTGAAAAATGGAGGTCATAACACATACACTTAACAAGGTTCTAGTGAGAGTTAAGATAAGGGAAAAATGCTGAATCGACATTTTATGTAGCATGTCTAAAATGGCATACAATTCATGATACATCTTCAAATTGAAATAATGCAAAACATTACATTCTAAAATTCCCTTTCTATTGTGTTTATTCACATTACTGCAGTTATTATGGTGCAGCAATTTAAAAATTGTAGCTGCTAACTGCAAGGCCAGTAGTCTGAATCTACCAGTTGCTCTGTAGGAGAAAGATGAGACTTTTTGCTCCTGTTAAGATTTACTGCCTTGGAAATCCTATACAGGGGCTCTATGAGTCGGAAGTGACTTAGCGACACACAACCACCACCACCATCATCTTATGGCATAATAAAGTGGTACTATTAGGAAATAAAGCAGATCTATTGAAACAGAAAGGAGTTCTGGTAGTGTAGTAGTTATGAATCGGGCTGTGAACCGCTAGGTCAGCAGTTTGAAACTACCAGCTGTTCCATGGGAGAAAGATAAGGCGTTCTGCTCCCATAAAGATTGACAGCCTCAGAAATCCTGTACAGGGTTGCTATGATCAGAACCCACTCCACGGCACACAACGACAACAACTGAAACAGAGCGTTGATGATGGAATGATGCCAATTAGGAACATCTACAAAGGGATTGAGATACAAATCCATATATAAGAAAACAGATTCCTATCACCTGAAATTTGGGGGAAAAGGTTTCTATCAAAAACTGTACCTCGATGGTGTGTCATGCTTCAACAAGCTGTTAAGGCGATTGACGATCCAACTAAAGAGACGCCCATATAACGTTTTAGCCATTGCATCTCTGACATCAGTGGCTTTTTCTACAGTGTTGGGACGTATAATTGTTTCTCCTCTAGTCACCACACAGTGAGAGGTGAGAGCTTCTTGCAGCTCATCTGCCTGAATGCAAAGCAAAGAAGCCGCTGAAAAATAAACAGATACATCATTAGAAAACATTCTGGCAACGAGGCCACTTCCTAAGGGATACAAAAGTCTCAATTCAACTGGAAAAGATCAAAAATAGATCTTATATGGCAGTGGGCTTCTGTGAGTGGGGGAGGAACAATCTGGAAAAGGATCATGAGAATGGGGGCACAACTTGAAGAATGGCATTGAGGTCACAGATTCTGCTCCCATAAAGATCTACAGCCTCAGAAACCCTGTAGAGGGTCGCTATTAGTCGGAACCCACTCAACAGCACATACCAACAACAACTGAAACAGAGTGTTGATAAAACAAATTATCTTTGAAAAAACATTAAAGAAAGATTGGATGTGGAATGAACAAATGTGAGATGGGATGATGTGCACAAGAACAGTGGTTATGAAGATAAAGACACATGATCAGGTTTGGGAAATACTTGCTGTTGTTGTTGTTAAGTGAAATCCAGTCGGTTCTGACTCATAACAACCCTATAAAGGGTTTCTGAGGACTGGCTAGTGAGTTTGAACTGCTGTCCTTGCAATTCAAACTGACCTTGTGGTCAAGTGCTTATTCTACGGTGCCACACTAGGACTCGTTAATGAGATAGAATTGGCAGAATTGGTGCCTAACTGAAATAATGCAACTTTATAAAGCCTCCTTGCTATGAAGCCTAGTTTTGGCGGTAATTCCTTGTAACTTCAACTAGAAATCATTTTAATAAAATGTCTATTTTCCACTAGTGGCTATTCCAGAAAGTGCCATAATTAATTTTACTATATTCCTGGTGTGGCAGTTTAGGACAAACATTGGTGTTCTAACTTTAAGGTGGGCAGTTCAATCCCCCAAGTCCCTCCTTGGAATCCCTATAGAGGTTCACTATGAGTCTGAACCAACTCGATGGCACTTAACAACAACAGCAATATATTCCTACTAATATTAACCTTTGGTAACCTACATGACTGTTTCCTGCTATAGGGAAATAGGCTTTTAATCATCACAATCATCTCTTAGTTTGGTTAATTGTTTCTCCATATGCTCTTGATATCTACAACATCTCTACTACAACTCATTCTTCTGGTTGGTGATAACTCTTCTAATAATTATCAGATTGTGAAACTGGAATCTTATCATGGAAGTTGTCTGGCTATTCCTTCCATTTCTGATAAAAAGATGGAAGTTGTCAAGGACTTCATTGTTCTTGGATCAACTATCAACACTCACAGAAGCAGCAGTCAAGAAATCAAACGA